CTGGGATCATGACCTGAGCCGAAGGCAGCTGCTTAACCAACTGAGCCACCCAGGCGTCCCATTTTTGAGATTTCTTATACACAATGATAGTCATCTCCTAAATTCTCTCTGAACAAGTTGTAATATTTTTCTAAGAATAATTATAATTTATTTTCCTCCTATGAGGCATCCTGTCAGAAATGTCCTGCTTTGGGAGTGCCTGGGTGGCTCAGTTAAATGTCTGACTCTTGATTTCAGCTAAGGGCATGACCTCAGGGTTGTGAGATCAAGCCCCAGGTCAGGCTGTGTGCTGGGCGTGGAGTCTGCTTAAGAGTCTCTCCCTCTATCTCTGCCTGACACCACCCCCCCCCCCAACTAAAAAAAGGATGGAAGGAACAGAGGGAGGAAGGGAGGGAAGGGAGAGAAAAGAGAAAGAGTGAGAGAGGAAGGGAGAGAAAGAAATGTCCAGCTTTAGAAAATAAAATTTAAAAGAAAAGGGAAAAAAAATTGGAGTATGTGCAAGTCAGTTTACTGATAAAAGCTGACAAAGGTGAATTAAATGACTAAGTCCATGTTTCCTGTAACGAGTATCTAGTATCTGATGAAATTTTCCTAAATGAAAAAGTGTAAGAGACAAATTTCAATAAATGAGAAATTTTCTGAGCACAAAAGGCTTGGTATCTAGTAGAATACACAAAACACTTCAAAAGAAATATTTTAGGATGCAAAACTAAACTTAAAAATTTCAGTATGTCAACTATACTTCAGTAATAAAAACAATTTAATTTTTTTTTTTAAATCTCTCTTGGCTACTTAAGAGCAATGCTGATGACCTAAAATCACATTTAATTCATTTTTATGCAGAAGAACTGAATTTATAAATGAAAAAGAATAAGAGAAGAACTCTACAGAATGAATGTCTGTAACTCACCGTGAACTTGGTTGATTTCTGAATTCTGGGAAAGAATTTCATCTGCTAATTTCTGAGCAGTTGGCAAAACTTCTGTGTGGTGCACTGTGATCAAATACTGTACAAACTTCTGTAGTTGGTCTCTATTCATTTGAAAGAGAGTCTCTGAAATGGGAAGATGCAGTTTGACCTGATCTGGCTTGCGGATGCGGTATAAAGACAGTGCCACAACATGAGCACAATAAAATATGTCCTTGTTTCCACAGCTGCAGGTCACTGAGGTAATCTTGCAACGATCAAAGCTGATGGCCACGTTGCAAACAGTTTCTGGCTCCGATTGTATTGCAGGTTCTGTCACTGTGCCACTCAAGTGGAAACCTATGTGAGAGAAAGGGAAGAGAGAGTTTAGCTGCTGCCTTCAGATGCTATAAAGGATTTCTAATTCTTTGAAATGCGTAGTACTTGACAGCTCCAAGAAAAAAAAAATGACAGTTTTTAATTTCAAGTAAAAACATTCAGGCCACTCAAACATCCTCCGCACCTCCCCTTCTCCACATCTTACAGGTAAAAAAAGAAATGGTATTCAACAGACATGCTGAAGTACTTGACATAGCCTTACAAAACCACTTATAGCAATACGCTGCCATCACACTTAAAGGAAGTTGTTAGTTCACAGCACTAATAAGCCATAATTACTCCAAAACTGTGGTATACCTGACAAAAATCAGTGGTTTTCTTCCTTTTCTTTTTTAAACTTTTCCAAGTAGAGTAGGCCAGCTTGGTTTTCTACTGAACAAACTCTCCCTCCCCTCCACCTTTATTCCAGGCAGACACTAGCATCCTCCAACCAAAAATGCAACTCTGGGGTGGATTTTTCACACACATTGATAAGATAAATTTGTTTATTTAATAATCCTTTATGTAACATGCATAACATATGCCCCAGTACAGCAATGTCCATTAGCAATGTCTACTGGTGGAACTGCAAAGCCCACCAGATCTCATACATACCACAGTCTAAGTAACTCACAATAAGCTGATACACATGTAAGTTTGTTAAATGGGCTCACACACACCCATGCACACACACACACACACACACACACACACGAGCATACAAAATCGCCAAGTGGAAAGGGGCTTCACAACTTAAACTTAGAACTACACACAAATCCTCCACATCCTCCCTGACCAACAAGCCATGTGGCCACTGCTTATAATGGTCCAGACATGGGACATTCACCCCACACACACAACAACCTCCCCCACCCCCAACCCTTGGATAGCCATAGGAAGAGCTCACAGACTTCTGAAAATTGCCTCCCACCACATTGCCAGCAGTCAGTCCTGGCCTGTTTGGCCAGTGGACAAAACTTCCTCCTTACGTTCCTATAAATATGTAGAAAGCTAATCCTAAATGGGGGGGGGGGGGACTTCCCCTCAGTTCCACCTCTTTCTCTGATAGCCAAATTCAGAGGTAAGGGTTAAAGGAGATCACTTGGGGAAACTTCTGGACACTGATCTACCTCAAGATTTTGGGTACCTGACAGAAACCTAAGCTCCAAAAGGAAGCCTCCGGCTCTCTTTCAGCTTTCCACTATCTATGCTACTTGACTAAAGTTCACTGAGCAGGTCACCGTCTTCATTCACAAAGAGAAAGATTTTTACCATGTGGGAAACCTGAGAGGAATGGCAGACACAGAACACGACAGTGACAGCCAGATGATGCCTAAGATTCACAGGTGGGGGGGGCACCTGAACCCTACTTACTATCTTCCCCACGGGATGATAACCAGGCCAGAGAGTACTCACTACTCAAAGAAATCTTTCAGAGTAATATAATTTCATCCTAATAATTCATATATAGTAACATAGTGGAAAGAGAAACATGTGGTAATAATCTTTACCAAATTAATCAATTTAAAAAGAACAATCCCTAAAGTTACTATTAAACTTCATGACAAGAAATTTATTGTAATATGATAACTTTCGTTTTTCTTACAAAGGGATTATCTGTTTCAGAATGAGTATTCCAGTCTCCTTTGCCTCTTTCAGTCAAGAAGTTTTTTGAAAACAAGAATTAAAGATACATAGTGATATAAAATCGTATTTTTAAAAATTTTTAATGATTTTTTTCCCATGAGGAAAGTCACAGAAAAAGTAAACACACAAGAAAATTTCAAAAGTGAAGAATAATAAGGGAAACTTACCTTGTTATATACCAGATGTACTATAAAGCATACAGTAATTTAAAATCCACAGGACAGGCACAGATTAAGATGATCCTTCCCAGCTTATTATCTTTCCTAGTCCACCAAAGTCAACATCTTTGTCTCTCCATGAAAGTAATATTGGAGAACTTCTCCAATCACAGGCAAAGTCAAGACAACTGAAGATCCAAGATCTAGACTAGTTAGTATTTAGTCTGTAAGGGGATAACTTAACAGGTGCTTCAAAAAACAGGCTGATTTAACTACCAAAGAAGAGCCCCTTAAGAAAAGTGATGAATCCTTCACATAGTTTTACAGAAAACTGTTTCAGATGCATAAGTTAGAAAGAAGTAAAGTATATTGAATGCTGCTATCATGAAATGATGCCAAAGGTAAAACTCATTATTCAGCTTCATTACAACAAATATTTACTAATCTCATACAGTCTTTTAAAAAGTAAATTATAGAATATTGTGACTGTCAAAACAATTTAATTCAAGGGGATATATGTGAGCACACATAAACATATACACGTCTTACAGAGTAACAATCTGATATCATCAAAGATTAAGATTTTTTTTAAAGATTTTACTTATTTATTTGACAGAGAGAGATCACAAGTAGGCAGAGAGGCAGGCAGAGAGAAAGGGGTAAGTAGGCTCCCCACTGAGCAGAGAGCCCTATGTGGCTGGATCCCAGGACCCTGAGATCATGACCTGAGCCAAAGGCAGAGGCTTAGCCCACTGAGCCACCCAGGCGCCCCAAAGATTAAGATATTTCATGAATGTTCATTTTCTAAGCAATTCTAGACATCTTTCAAGTACCCAAACTCCTTTAAAAATTCCAATCATTTTTCTTAGAAAGATTTCCTAATGTCTTAAGTTCTACCTTGCCACCAGAATCAGCTGACCATCTGGTATTACCAAGTGATGGGGGCAACACTCCCTATAACAGGTATCTGCAGGAGACAGTATTTTTTAAGTGGGCTTTTTGTTACTTTTTTCCACTATCAGCCATCACAAGATCTCCTCTCCCATACAGTTAGTCTTTTTCATAGAAAATTCTTTGCCCTCAGGCCAGCTGTGCCTCTAATTTGACTAGTTTTATGGCACCTATTCAATACTCTGGGGTTATTTGTATGGGGGTTCCCCCATTTTACCTTTAGGTTAGGATGAGTGATGTTGCTAGAGGTGATTGACTTCACTTTAAATAAAGGAAAATTACATACACACATAAGTAAGTGCTGGTATGTTATTTTATAAGACTATGCAATACTAAGTCAGTATGCAGGAACTTCCTCAGGCCTCCTTTTAGGATTGTGTGGTCCTCCTGATTTGAGAAATCTTTGAAATCCCAACTCACTCTCAGCTGGTCCTAAATCATGCCAGAGCACCCACAGAGGAAACAAGAATACTCCTCCCTCAACAATGCCTAGACAGCTAGATAAGCTACATAAGCCATCCTTCCTCCAGCCCTTACTCCCTACCCACAGCTGGTCTTGTCTCCTAGGTTTCTGAAACAAAATAATGCTCCTAAAAATGGATTTTGCCTCTCTGGAGTTCAGATAAACTTTGATGACCCATTGTTGTAGATTCACAAATAGAGAAATCTCTTTCTGGTATAGTTAACTGTTCTGTATGACAGAACTGAGGACAAAGAAAGGGGCAATTCTGCACTTAGTAGTAAAACAATGGGCAATTAATTTTCAAAGAACTAAAACTAAAAAAAAAAAATTACATAAACCTTTTCTTATGTAAAACCTTTTCTTATGTAAAAATATGTAAAAATTACATAAACCTTTTCTTATGTTTCTTATCTTAAACGTATTTACCTGGCTTTCCAAAATACAATCTGTCAAAGACAGTTAATCCCATAAGAGCAAACCTCACAGGGCAAATTGTCTCATCACCATCAGGTTTTATCAGTGAGCCCCAAAAATCATTTGTATCCACATTCTCAATCTCCAGACCAAAGAAAAACAAAGCAAAAACCAAGGCACGGCACTGTAAAAGCTTTGGTAATAGAGGCATTTTGATTCCTGTCAAGCTCTCTCACTTAAATGCTGTGTGCTCTGGACATGTTATTTAACCTCTCTGAGTCTTCCTCTATTCGTTTGCAAAATGTGGCTAGAAATACCTCCTCGGGTTGTTTTGAGGATTTAAATGAAATAACATATGTAAAGCACCTGGCACATAGTAAAAGTGCTCGTTAAATTTTATTTCTCTTTCCTTCCCTTCCCAGCTGGAGAACAGGGGAGGGGTGTAGGACACATTCCCTTCATGTACAACACTTTTTTTTTAATCTTTGCTACTGGAATCTTGGAGGGGGGCTGGAGGTCTCACTTGAGAAATGGCTTGTGACATAAGCGTGGCCACTGAAAATATCTGAGGCAAGTGAGTTGGATGACACTAGAGGGATCACTGCTGTTTGACAACAAAACCAAACATCTTCAGAGTCAGTTACACCTTTGTTTAATTCAGCTTTCTTTCACCATTTTTCTATTAAGTTCCACCAACACACAGTTAATTTTGTGCATGAGTATTACCTTATACACAGAGAAACCAGAAAACAAGAGGGGAGAGATTTATTTTGTTTTAGTACCCATACACATTTCTACAATGTTATAATGCAGCGATTCTCAAAATGTGGTCAGGATATACCCACAGGATCCCCAAAACTCTTTCATGGGTTCTTAAAGATCATTTTTTCCCCATAATTCTACCTAGACGTCACTGACCTTTTAAACTCTCCCTCCCAAGCGTACATTTAATTTTCCAGAGGCTACAGGATGTGTGATATTACAACAGAATGATCACAGAGACAGGAAAATCCAGCTCTTTACACAAAGACAGACATTATGAAGATTTTAAAAAATGTAATACAAAGACACCTCTTCCACTAAAATATCTTTTGTTTGGGGACTACAGTTATTTTGTTCATAAAGGTATGTTCTTTATTATTAAAGGTATATTAACAACTTTATTACTGTTATTTGGTGAATAGTTTCTTTTTTTTTTCTCAGCTTTAATTTCAAACAGTAATAGGCATAATCCTCATAAGCAAAGGAGATGTGGGATCCTCAGTCATTAAAAATGAATCAGAAAGGGGCTGCCTGGGTGGCTCAGTGGGTTGAAGCCTCTGCCTTAGGCTCAGGTCATGCATGATCTC